TGGAGGCAACGACAAGCAGGGATTTCCCATGAAGCAGGGTGTGCTGACCGCTGGGCGTCGTGCGGCTGCTCCTGTCCAAGGGCCACTCGTGCTACCGGCCAAGGCGTACCGGCGAGCGCAAGCGCAAGTCGGTGCGTGGCTGCATTGTCGATTCCAACCTCAGCGTTATCAGCTTGGTGGTCAAGAAGAAGGGCGAGCAGGAAATACCTGCCTGACCGACACAACTCTCCCGCGCCGCCTCGGACCCAAGCGGGCCAGCAAGATCCGCAAGCTGTACAACCTGTCCAAAGAAGACGACGTGAGGCAGTACGTTGTGGCGTCGCCCTCTGCCCCTCAAGGAGGCAAGAAGCAGCGCTCCAAGGCGCCCAAGATCCAGCGGCTCATCACGCCCGCCCATGCTGCAGCACAAGCGCCGTCGCGTGGCCCTCAAGAAGAGGCTCACACCAGAAGCGTAAGGAGGAGGCTGCCGACTACGCCCGCCTCCTGGCACAGAGGGCCAAGGAAGCCAAGGAGAAGAGGCAGGATAAGATCCGTCGCCGCCGCTCCGCTTCCCACGGCCAGAGCCAATCGTCCACTCAGGCCTAGTAGGCCAATAAAATATTATTCCAGACTTTGACACTGTCGCCCAGATTCTCTTGTTTTGGAACTAGCACAAGTTTTTCTTCACACGAGGCTCCTGTAGTGTTGACAGGCTGGTAAATAAGCCACATGCCCAATGAAGAGTGACATCGTAAATTTTCAGGTGCATTAGTTTCGTTTCACATGAAGTCAACCTACGCACAAGCCCTGACAATTAGAGTATACTTGCTTTGCCTCTTTAATCATTCCCTACCATTGCAAGACAACTCTTGTAAAGAAATTAATTTTTTTATCTGGTGCTTTCGTCTATGGGAGCTGCAATGTAGGCACTTCAGCCTGCATGGAAAGGATGGGTAGTACACGAATTTGTCATTAGATTTGGCGACTCATGACCTGCAGCCACTTTCAGAATATGCAAATTTCCAGCAGTTCCACTTCACCTTGACCTTTTAGGCTTGGCAACCCAAATTAAAAAAATGAAGTTTGCAACATGAAGCCTTTCATTCGAAACAACATTGAAACATGAAGCCTTTCATCCGAAACAAAGTGAAAACAAAGCCACAAGTGCATGTAAAGGTTGCAACTACAAAGGCTAAGCAAATTCGTGTACTAATTTCCATGGTGGCCGAACGATTGCAGCACTAGAGTTAATATTGGGAAACTAAAATGCGTTGACTTTACACAGGGTGCCAGCTTGCATCTTTTTACCACTGCCTCGGCAGTGCAGCCGTGGCAAATAGGCATGCTACGTGTATGCACTGTTTGACAGAAGAAACTGTGTAACTCAAGTAATTAAGTCTCGCTCGCAATTTTAATTAAAATGTAATTAACTATAATTAACTTTATTTTAATACGATGATCTCCTAGAACTCTCTACATTCCTTCAAAAAATTTCTTCATAATATGCAGACAAAAGCAATAGCATAAACTCCCGAGTGCAGTGTCGCCATAAAAACCTAGCTCTCGATGCACTTTTTTTCTTGCTTCCCACATCTCGTGGCAAGCATGGCAATTTCGGTATTGTGATGAAGGAATTTACTAATATGAAAAAAAAAAAAAACTGCTGTCTTGCTAGTGTCCTGTTAAATGTTACCTTTAAGGTCTCTCCTATGCAGCTAAGCAGGGGTGTAGCCAAAAATCTTTTTCAGAATGTGGTTCAACCATGTACGTTAGGGCACGTGTTTGTATATGTGCATACATATATATGAAAGCTAAATTGAAAATTTTCGGAGGTTTGAACCCCCACCTTGGCTACGCTCCTTCAGCTAAGAAGTGCCTTACGGTGTACCACTGCAGGTACATAGTTCACATATCCCTTCACAACGACCAACCCTACGAACCATTTGTGCGCTGTCTTGGTTCCAAATTAACATATGTGAGGTGGCATCTTTTAACAGGCAAATTTTATAGAAGTACACCTCTGTTTATCTGAATCTTTCACAATGGCAAGGTGTATGCACCATTCCCTTATCAGAAAAGACGAAAAACATCCCTTCATCTTTGAAGCTTTCGTTCTGGCTACAGCAGTTTTCCTGGCCCCAATATCAAAGGAGCTTCAGTAACACTTCTTTTGGGCCTAGTTTGCTCATAATCATCTACTTCTACATCGCAAATGCCAACACACGACAAAGAGACAACACATACAAGCTCTGGTGTGTGTAGTCTCTTTCTTTGTGGTGTGTCTTTGTTTGCACTCTAAAAGTGCCCCAATACCAAAGCCTTATGAAAATAACAGAGGACAGTACAATAAAATGAAAAGGCAAAGTGTGCACGAGCTGTTGTAGAAACCATCAGTAGCCTCCGCAATTGTCCCCATTGCAAGCTATAATGAAGGGTCTTGGAATGCTCAATACGAGCATGTTTAATTTTTCATGGAGTGAAACCAAGTTAGCAGTGGCCTGCTTGGTAGAAAACCTTATTATGTAACTCCATACCTTGATGTAATGCTAATGAGTGTGTGCTCAGCCAACAGCTGTGCATGGCGGAAATGTTGTAGGCCTGTGTGCTCAGATTTGGGCGCACGTTAAAGAACCCTAGGAGGTCGAAATTTCCGGAGCCCTCCACTACCCGCACCACGGGCATCTCTCATATTCATATGATCGTTTGCGACGTTAAACTCCACATATCAATCATCAGCCAACAGCTATACAAAATTAAAGTTATTGTGAATGATAGTGACACCTCTGCACTGCACACATTGTAAAATGCTAAGCTGCTTCGCGAAAAAACAACAGTGCGTTTTGAAGCTGCCACAGTCCCTTCAGGCACAAGTTACTTTTGGTGAGCAAATCAAGTTCCCTGTAATGCATAATGTGTTGGACACTCGTGGCAAGCAAGTGACAAGAACCAATGACAGTTGAATTAAAAAAATTTTGGCTTTCGTGGTTGTGCATGCAATCGATAATGATGATATTCAATTGTTAATGTTTTGGTGTCATGTAAAACTAATGCTAGCATCATTAATTTTAAATTCTGGTGTTAATCAATGTGTCCATTTACAAACAAAACAAATTGGCAGCATGCTGGATATAAGATTACTCACGCTCAAACTTCAGTGGCATTGAGATGTGCTTCTCTGGAACGAAGGCTCTGCATGTGATAACGAATGGAGCAGTAAGATTGCCGCAATATTGCCTAGGCAGGCGGCACACCCAGGCATGTGCTTGTCCCTAAATTTGTGTACCATGAGAAATCCAGTGTATAACATGCAACAGTAACTTGTCCAGTTGCTTCATGGTTTGGCTGCATGGTCACATCTACAGGGAGAAAGCTCCCTGTAGTATGCGAGTCTAGGTTGCGGTCTATGTACCTCTTAAGCTGCCTGAGATAAAGGTGCTGCCAACTTTTGCGAGTTTTTATGTTTACTTTGAAACTAGAGTAAAAAACACGCTTGAGGCTATGTTTGCAAGAGCTAGTTGTCCGAGTACAATAGGCATTCTGCAGAATGAAGTAAGGGTATAATAAGCTTGATATTTCAGTGCTCGTGGTCTCTGAAGATGTTACTATGCTGCTTTGCATATGTTGTTACGAGACTTTATAATTGCACTGTATTTAGGTGTGTATTTATTGCACAAGTGATCATATTGCATTACTGCATAAAAACAACTTGATACAAGTTTTATGGCTGCAAACATTACAAAAAAAAAAAAAGAATTCATTTGCCGTTGCTGTTATGAGCAACATGTCACATGTCATTATATGTGCCTTCTCTATAAAACTGAACATCTTTAACAATACATAGCACACTTCTACAAGTTTAATCTGTTCATGGAGGAGCATTCAATCGAATCTTCTTGTCTCATGCTTTTTCTTTGACATGACTGGTTGCTACCAATAGAAAAAAGTTGCGTACACCGAGTAGTACACCAAGCCTGAATTAGATAAAGCTGATTGCTATAAAAATGACAGAACACAACAGTAATCCTTTCTGTACTGTTTTAAATAGAAGCCGCTTTAGTGCCACCACTGCAGCTCTATTGCAGCATGGTTACCTTGAAGAGCCCCAAGGCCTTAGTGCTTCTCTTAAAAATTTGTGATAAGTTCTTCCTCGCATAAGAAGAATTATATGCAAAAAATTTGACTTGTTTATTTTTTTAAATAAAATTGTGCATACCTCTATAAAATTGATATCCTGAACTATGAACTTTAGAAGTGATTGTAGTGCAACTTATAATTTCTGTGATCTATTTATATGGTAGCAGGCCAGCAACATAAGTAGTTGTTGCAACTTGCTCTTGCATTCTTGATTTTCTGGGTCTATGGGGCACACAGCCGCCACCTTACTTTCTCAAGATAGTTCTGACTGTAACCAGGTCAAAAAGACCTAACACTTTGCTTGAATATGCCTGTCATAGCTATGGCCTCAGTAGTCTGCTAGGTGACTGTGAGCAGTATATAGAGCTACTGTTAAGTTAAAGGTGTGTAAAAAATAGGCTAGCATGGTGGAGATAAAGAGGTTACTTGCAGTGTAATGAGAAGAATGCACAAATGTAAAAGGAAACAGGAACGTGATTCATTTTTTTTCACTGGAGGTGCTTTACGCAAAAGTGAGCACTAAAACTGGTATGGCATAGCTGTCCAATGTCAGAGACCTGTATGTCTACGGGTCCATAGACCAGATAGAGTGTACAACGATGGAGCCTGTGCAGTCCTTCAATAATCACCGACACAATGTGCATGTTCAGCAGCCTGTTCCTTTGCGGTCTCGTATCTAGCAATAGTACTGCCATGCTGTTTTTCATGTACATGATCCCATGCAGGTTGCTGCACCGTTTTTACAATGCATAATATTTCTTATTTAACATTGTATTTGGTGTACTAACCTGAATTTTAAAGGTATCATCACATCCCCCTTTCACGGAAAATGTTCAATGGTGAGTTCTGAAAATCGGGTTATCTTAATCATGAATACACTGTTCCTATTCTTTTGTTGTAGCTTTTGTCAGTTTTTATCCTCACTTAAAACTATATGTTAGCAGGTACAGTCGGACATCTTCGCAGTCTCCTGCTTTGGACAGTCAAGGAACTTGTCAAGTTGACATGGGAAGTAATTTGCCAGTCTTGACAGTGTCGTAGCCTTTGTTGGTCACATGTTGATGCTATAAGTATGTAAAGACGGTGATGCAACGTGAGTGGTCTTATAAAGGGCTTCATGCGTCCCGTTGTGAGCTGTCCAACCAGTTGTCTTTGCACGGGCTATATTCAGACATCTGTCCAGGGATAGTCCTTCTTCATTCGGCGAGCTACTTGCGAGAACTTTACATCAATGGGATCGGTCTGGTCGTAGAGCGAAGGAGCCTGGAGAAAAATTCCTGCCGTACCAACAACACATGCAATTGTGAAGAGCCAAAGAAAGAGCCGATCCAGGACCATGGCAACGTACTTCCAATCCTCACGGATCTGCACAGATAGATGCAAGTGTATCAATTGGGGTTTGGTTTGATTTTCATGTAGAACAAAAGGCAATGACATCTTAGACTGCAGCATGGAACACTGCAGACTTGATACTCCACTCAAAAAGAGAGGTGCTGCCAGCGGGCAGTGTCTAACAGTCGCACAAAAGCATACTTCTTATTCAGGCTTGTGTGAATAGTGAACTTTAGGTCCAAGGCAATGCGAAGCAAAATAGTGATAATGATCAAATAATTTCAATCGAATTCAAGTAGTATATATAACGCAATATAAAAAGAAATAGGCATGTTTGTCATAACCCAACTTTCCTGTACAATAGTAAAAAAAATCAAACAAGACCTGTGCAAATTTCAATCCCATTCTTTTTGGTTCAAAGAAAGTGGAAAAAACTTTGAATAGTAGCAGGATTTGACATTCGGTATAGAATGGATCGAAGTTATAACTTCTAAAATATGTTACGACTTAAAATTTACTATACTTATAGAATATGCCGGTATAACAAACAACCTTTCGAACTTGAAAAATGATGAATTGATGTGACGGTAATATGTTTATATAAGTTTAAAGGGGGGCTTCGCGGTAATGCGGATTTTTTAAGGGGCGAAGTTCCTTAGGTCAAGGGTCATAGCCTCCTCTGTAGTAGTAGTAGAAGTAGTAGTAGTGGTAGTAGTAGTAGTAGTAGTAGTAGTAGTATGTAGCCACCTCTAGTTTATGAGTTGCTCAATAGATGGCGTTGTGTGTATATGTCCTTGAAAATAATATAACTAGATGGAGTTAGTGGTTTTCACAGCATATCCACGGAGTGAATCATGATGAGTGGGGCGAAGTGTCCTTCCGTGTGTCCGTCCATGCGTCCGTTCGTTCGTCCACGCGTCATGCTTCTGTTGGTCCATCCGTGAGCCCGTCCGTGCTTCCGTATGTCCGTCCATGCTTCCATGCGCCCAGACGCACGAACAAATGGACACACACGGACAGACTGTCGCTTCGGCGCACTCATCATAATTCACTCCGTGAATATGCTGTAATTTTTTTATTGAGTGTTTTCACGGCTTAGCACAAACTTACTGCAGTGAAGTTACACTTACAGTGGCTTACATGCGGACTAGTGTAAACATCTTAGCCTCTTTCTCCACTCCAGCAGCGAAACGACGTTTACAGGAAGGTATATGCGGACTAATTAATACACACCTATTCGTTCATTTCGAATACTTCGAAATTTTCAACAATGTAAATTCTAATCGAAACGCATTCGAATACAGTAAGTAATATTTGTTCGAATATTCCAAGCATTCGAATATTTACACGTATACTTTTGTTTTAGTGGCTGCCCCAATTCTAGTTGTTCAAGTCGGGAAGGAAAGAACTGAGTTGCATTGGGAGCAGGTAAAGCGCTTCCGGGCAGTTTGCACTAGCTTGTGCAAGCTTGACGAGAGAAGCACGAACCCGTCGCCGCTCGCACTCCCCGTCGACTGACACGTCTAGCCAAGAAGGCTATGGTCTAGCTTCGAAATGCACGGCTTCCTCACCTCTCTCCGTTTCTCTCTTTCTCATTCTTTCTGTGCTATGCTTTCCCCTCTCTTCATCATGCGCACTTCCCTTTCCGACCCCTTGCTGCCCGCGCCTGGATAGCAGAGTGGCCAGTTCGCCTTCGGATGGAGGGTACCGTTATCGAGAGTACGCGTGCTCGAATGCCGCCTCGTGAATACCATCACGTCTCTCCTCCTTATGCTCACTTCCCTTTCCAACGCCCTGGCTACTCATGATGATGATAGTTTGGGGCAGGTTCGCCGCTAATACAGCGACGCTGTTCAAAGGAGCCGCGACACCAAATTTGGAAACTCGAGATGCTTGCGTAGTTTGATAGCATTGCCTATGAGATATTTTACGTTGGATGGTTTTAAAGTAAGGGTGTCTACTCATCCGAGTATTCTGGTCCAATCGACATTTTCTGTGTTTTGACGTCGGCAAGGGCCCCCTCATGAGTTGCAGAGCTGACAAGTTTTGCGGCATCAGAGAACATTTGCCGGGCGCGCACAATAAATATCCCGCTGAAGGCTATCGTTCATCACCCCTTTTGCTCGGTTGTTATAGTTGCTTTCGAGGTTACGCCAGGAATGCCTTTATTTTAGATTCGAATCATCCCTTACTCGTGGGTATGTCACACGTCAATAGACCTTTACCGAGGTACGTTACTGCGTGACGTCACCGGCGCACGTGCAAGGCGGCGGTTGGCAAAACAAAACTACTAGCGCATGTCCCCGCTCTTGTTAAACCGCTCGCTGTTGGTGGCGCTACCTATAACCTGTGTCATATGTGTTCCGTAAAGGGCTTCACCCTATAGTTCTGGACGATGGTGCAGAGTTTTTCAAGGCACTGGAGTTTAGGGACAGAGAAAGCAAAGTATAGTTTAAGCGGGTGGAAATAACTAGAAGGAGATTATCTCATTGGTGGCTAAAATCAAGGCACGAGTGAAAATTAAATCTTTCACTGCAAAGTACCAGTCTTAAACTTCACTACTTAAAAGAAAAAAAAAGATAAATGTAGTTGTTGGTTCACTAAGTATTACGGCTAAGTGGTGTTAGCCGCAGCTCAATCTAAATGGTACAGCCATATAAACCCATCCATCCATCATTACAGCTATAAGTACAGACGCCCATTAAAGAGAGAACAGCAGCAAATCATCATCATCGTCTGCTACTCTGCGGAAGTTTGGATGTTGCTGGAATAAGAACGCCTGAATTCTGTGCGAACTGTCGGCATGTATGTGACTATTTCTCCACTTAGACGGCTGGTAAAGTAAGCTATTCAGTGCGGTTAAGTGTTTACTGCACACTGGTTGACAAACGTGGGAACCCGTAAACTCACATGGTGTGGAAAAGCGTTACCCTTCTGTCGTAAGATTTGCACCTTGCGGCAAGTCAGATGATTTGCTGCTAAATGGTTCAGCGTAAGGAATGGAGGACATATAGCGATAAGCTACGTGGCTTCTCTAACTTCTGCTTGCACTAAACGTGCGCCAAGATAGAATGTTCAACAAGTGCACAACTTGGACAGCAAACTACACTTACACTTTCGAAGTCGTCATTGTTATCAATGTGCTGAGCGATGAACATGGCATTGTGGATTGCTCGTTCGATGTCGCCAGGCGGCTGGTCTCCAACCACGGGGTCTGCTTGGCGCAGCCCTTGTGGCCGTGCCAGTAGCAGCGGCTCCGGCATGATCATAGAATCGTCCACGTGCGCGTTGCCTTGGTGCGCCGACTTGGCCGATGACGAGGAAGCTTCGTCCACCTGCGAAACAACAGCGCTGCCCCTTGATGCCATAAAGCAACGCATAGGTATACACACGTGTGTCGGCCGTGCTGCGTTTTGATTCAGCTGAGAACTTACTCCCAAATGCAGAAAGGGATAGTAACCAGAGCAAAACAGGTGATTGCAAGTCGTCACGCGTGGGCAATCTCCCTATTACGTTATTTGTCTGCTTATCCTTCTCAACAAATTGGACAATGAATGCCCCTATAAGGGCCCCCCTCCCCATTTCTGTATGGAAATTCGTGTCTATGTTTGAGTGCTCTGGATTTACACACACAATATATATGTGTGTGTATGTGTTTGTATGTATGTATGTATGTATGTATGTATGTATGTATGTATGTATGTATGTATGTATGTATGTATGTATGTATGTATGTATGTATGTATGTATGCGTGTATGTATGTATGTATGTATGTATGTGTGTGTGTATGTGTATATGTGTGTTTGTATGCATGTATGTATGTGTGTGTATGTATATATGTGTGTATATGTATGTGTATATGTGTGTGTATATATGTGTGTGTGTGTGCGCGTGCGTGCGTGTGTGCGTGCGTGTGCGCGCGCGCGCGCGTGTGTGTGTGTGTGTGTGTGTGTGTGTGTGTGTGTGTGTGTGTGTGTGTGTGTGTGTGTGTGTGTGCGCGCACGTGAACCTTAAGGAAGCAACGACAAGGGGAAGGCAGTGAAATGGTACGAAGATGAGATTAAACAAACTTTCGCCGAGTTAGGATGTCAATCACTTGCGGAAATGAAATGTCGAGAAATTCAGCAGCTATAGGCGTTCAATAGAAATTTAATAGCATACACAATCCCATACTGCGTTGAGCACTCGTAGCCGAATGCTTTACGGAGAAATTATATGAGCAAGGCTCTGCTCGCATAGCGTTCGCTTGAAACTGCGGGGCGTCTCACTCACTTCTATGCGGTACTGCGGCGGTCGCATGAGCAGCAGCCGCGGCATGAGGTGCACGAAGAGTCGGCGCACCCATGGCGCCATGCGGTGAGTCGACGGCGACCGGAAGTGCACGTTGAGCACGGCAATGGTCACAAGTACCGAGACGGTGACCAGTATCATGGTGAACACGAGGTACTTGCCGAGTAGCGGCATGGCCAGCGACGTGGGCGGGATGATCTCGGCCAGCACCAAGAAGAAGAACGTCAGCGACAGCATGATCGAGATCGACAGCGACACCTGCGCATTTAAACAAGTGCGCCTTTTCTACTCCGCGCACTGTTAATCCCGATTACATCTTTAGGGGCGTTCTTAGGTGTCTAGAACTTGCATCTTTACGCCTCATAAAATGGGCATAACACACAGGATTACACAAGCTATAAGGGCATTTCACAAACATTACGCCCTGAGCAGGCGGCGACTCCGCTCGATCTCGCGGCCAACAGCGCTGTCTGCAGCACCGTCTCCTTCGTTCCACATTGGCATAATTACGTACAGAAGACATCTGATGCAGTAAATAATTTTATATAATGAAGTAATGCCTGTAATATAACGAAGATGATTCGGCTTTTCTTTGGAATTCGTTACAAAGAGGTTTCCAACGATGGTTCAAACATGATTCGATAATGGTTGGTCGTAAGGTGGCGTCATCGCAGTCACATTCTAACGTAATGTGGATTTCATAACATCCAGATTCATTATAGTTAACCGCAAGTATTGCCAATGTATTCAAAATACGTTCACTTTCGATGAAATGTAAAAGAAGTTATCGGGGGGACCTTTTCGCCGGAATCTGAAGGCAGGTAGAAGACCAGGACGGATAGGCAGGAGATGCCGACGCAGGGGATGATGAGGTTGACGGTGTAGAAGAGCGTTTTGCGTCGTAGCGTGATGTTGAAGGTGATGTCCGGGTACGGCTGCTCGCAGCACGAGTAAAACTTCTCTCGCCGCATGGCCGGCACGGCCATGATGTCCCACTCTACGCTCAGGTAAAACTCGGTCAGGTCGATGCCCACCGGCACGATGTTTGTGTCTGGAATCTCGCTCACGTGCTTCAGGTCCACCTGCAACGATTATACGGTAGCCTTCAGCTGGCAATGGGTGTCTAAATTGGTGTTCAGGCATGCACACACGCACCACTGAACTCATACGCGTGTACATATAACATATAATTTTTATTTTCAACTTCCATTGTAAATTTGGTTTGGGACTCGGTAAAAACCATAGTATAACAAACTTGTTGACATTTATTATTAGTGACCTTTACGTAACAGTCAGTTTGGCAGTCGAATCATACAAATAACTGCAGCATCTCGATAAATATCCCAACATAGCGCCAATAAAACACGCAGTAACAACCTAACACACGCAATGTACCACGAATGCGGCGTTGCCGACGTTAGACTCACCACAGGAGTCCGCGACCATGAGCGGTGGAATCGTCCCCGCGGACTTCACACGAGAGACGTCCGCCGACGAGCGTGTCCAGCGCCAAACGAGACAGAGTACCTTATATCATGCACCCGCGTAATTCTTCGCTACCAGTGAGGTGCCACGTGCCACCGTGGGAACAGCGTCGTATTTCGCACAGCGGCGAGTACACTCACTACGCCGAATGATGTGTGAACGCCATGAGATGAGAATTACTTTACAGGGGGGGGACAGAACCCAATGAACAAATAAATACGAGCATGCTCCTTGTTGATCACTGAACGAATATCGACGTTTAACACGATAGTGTTTTATGCCGGGATGCAGAAAAAATTTAGTGACGTATTTCCGTCACGGAAACGACGTCAAAGATACGCAAGATCAGTCGACAAAGAAAGAAATTTCATCAGCGGGAGTATAAACCGTGACCTTTGGGTCGGCGAAAACAGATGCCGGGCACCCTATCCACTGCACCACAATCATACTTTCCACGCTTGTAAAAAATACGCCTTTTATACCTACTACTGGTCTCTCGCAGTGTTATTGGTAAAACCATGTAAAATGTAGGAATGCATCATGTCAGTGCTACCCGCGATAGTTTTTTCAACGCCTCGTTTCCAAGCGCCTGTTACATTCATTGCGTTTCCAATAGAAAAAATGCAATTTCTTCAACGCCTTAACACACCCCCACAAGGCTACCTTACTCCAAGCGTCGGCGTCTATGACGCTCGCCGGCTTCGCCTGGCTTTTACTCCACGCTCCCCCCTTACTCTACATCGATGCCCCGAGAGGCTGCTGTAGATACATGTATAAATAAATGGTTAATAAATAAATTACGCTCGCCTCGCGAATAATCGTGGCTAGCTAAAGCGTAGGCTCGACACACGTCGCCTTTCCTTCTGGTAGGGCAGTGACGTTCAATAACTTCAACATGGCAACGAGTGTGGCGACCTTAGCCCAAGTTCCACGTCCAATCAGTCACGCTCTTCTGGCTGTCTTATCCGCTCTCATTGCTAACTACCACAGCTACCAGAAGCATCTATGGCCAGAAGGCTTCGTTAATCGTAAATGATGGTTTTTAGTCGTCAAGATGGGGATGAGTGGTGGGTGGAAAAACTTGACTGGTTATTCAGGAGAAGGGGTAGAAGGGGAAACAGCGAGAAGGTGGGTCCCTATTCTAGGACTTCAGGGATCCTCGCTACACGCTCCGCTTGGTCCAAGAGGCCTTTTAGGACCTCTATCCCTGGCCGAACGAAGTGGGTCTGCCACGGCTCCCTAGAATAAGCACGTAACCCAGGCGAGTTTGCCTCGTAGGGTCTTGCTGCACATTCTCTTTCCAGTAAATCTAAACGTCAACGTGAATGCATACACGTTAGGTGGTGCTACAGCTTTCAAAAACCAGTAGACATTGCACTAACTCTCTTATAACAATCTACAGTAAATTTTAAACTACTCCTGTGAGGACATGTTTTACTTTGGTCTTTTACCTATCTCAATCACGGAGGGATCAAACATGCTTTTCAAAACCGCAGGTGCGTTTTTCTACACTTCATGTTCACCCAATTAATGGGACCACCTGTGGTGCTTTAAGTAAAGACAAGTTACTAGTTTTACGTGCTAGGCATTGTCTATTGTGCATGTTTATGCCAAGAAAGCCGAATCTACATTTATCATGTCATAGCGCACGTAATTTGCGCTTGAGTACGGCTTTCGCAGAGAGTGGCAAGCCGCAATTAGTAGGGCAAACTGCATAACAGTAAAGCTGGCTTTACAATTATGAAAAAAGGTATATCGCAAAACGGAACGCGTTGCTAACCACTGATCTTCATGTTCAGTATGTTTTTTGTTATTGTGATTTCGTATTTACTACCTCCATTTTCGCGACATCCATTGGAAGCTACAGTACGTTGAAGTAAAGAAATAAAGTAAAATATGCCAGCTCTAGTCACCTGGAATCCATCGTACGTCCAGGATCCGAACTTCATGAAGCAGTCCTGCTTGTCGAACGGGAAGTACTGCACGTCGATCTGGCAGAAGCTCTTGTAAATGGCCGGCGGGTTCCACACCACCCGACCGTCCTCGTGAATTATGGCTTTCGTCATGATGGTCACCTCGTAGTTGCCGTCAGCACTGGGCATTAGCGGCAGACATAAGCCAAGAATTCACCACACAATACAACGTAGAATTTTTACTTTCAGCATTTCATCATCATCAGCCTGACTATGCCCAGTGCAGGGCAAGGGCCTCTATCAACCTGGTCTTGTGTTTTCGTTGCCACGTTATACCTGCGTACTTTCTAATATCATCGGCCCACCTAACTTTTGTCTCCCCCTCGTGCGTTTGCCTTCTCTGGCATGCTAGTCATTTACTCTAAACGAGCAGCAGTTATCCTGCCTATGTGCTACGTGCCCGGCCTATGTCCATTTCTTCTTGATTTCAACTATGATTTCTTTAACCTCGGTTTGTGGCCTGACCCACTCAGCTCTCTTCTTGTCTCTTAAGGTTACACCTATCATTTTTCCTTTCCATCGCTCGCTGCGTCGACCTCAATTTAAGCTGAACCCTCTTTGTAAGCCTCCAGGTTTCTGCTCCGTAGGTAACTACCGGCAAGATGCAGCTGTTGTATACCTTCCTCTTGAGGGTTAGCGGTAGATTATCAATGATGATATGAGAATGCTTGTCGAATGTTATCCACCCCATCCTTATTCTTCTTGTTGTTTCACTCTCATGGTTCGGTACCGTGGTTACTTTAGCACTTATATGCGCTCAACGCAACACACATTTATTAGTTCCAAGACCTTATTTCTGGCGCTATTCAGCTCCAGTGAGATTGTGGAAGTAGCAGGGAACTCACGAATGCCGAATAAAGCACACATTATGTTCTAAAATTCTTGTACTACAAAAGAAAGAAAGAAAGATGCCTCTTGAGCACTGCGAGCATTAGCGGTTACGAGACGAGACGCAGTCCTCACTTGCTGCATGCCGAAGTACGGTGCATGCGCAGAGCTGTGGCAGGTTAAATTGTGAGTGATGTGCGACTCACTTGTTGTAGAGAACAATGTCAGGGAGCCAGATTTGTTCTGCAGGTACGTATAGTTCAGTGACTCCGCCGTACTCCTGCGGATCCCACTTGAGCTTGTGGTCCGACCATTCCTGTGGGAAACAACGAAACAGGGCCTTTACGCAACGAGTCTACAGTGCCGAAGAGGTAGAAAAAAAAATGGTAACACAGGGTGAAATTATTAGCGCGCTTTATAACATGTTGCCGTTATGTTGAATTATTGGCGGACTCACGATAACCTTACATGCACCCGGCGAGCCGGTTTTTTTTTTTTAGCGGGCTTAGAACATTTATGGTTCACTAAGCGTACTTCAACGCCTTCTTAAATGAATATTAGTTCTTTTGTATAGAACCTTCACACTGCAGATAAGCACGCCATTAACAAAGCAGCGTGTCTTTGCAAATTTCTGGTGCAAGGTGCAAGTTCTACACAAATAAAGTTGAACACGAACGCGAACTATAACGGGAGTATAAAAATTAAAACTGCGATCCTTCTGAGAAAGCTGTGCTGCAACTATTGATTGCTCCCAGTATGTGAAATTGCCACATTCATTTAGAATAAATATGTAAAAGATGGTACAAACAAAAATATAGTTCTTTTTTGCTTTTTGTACCTGATTTAACATGACTGCTTTGTGAAACACGGTATATTTTACAAGTCGCGAGTGACTGTTACCGCTATCGTGCATGTCATGCGTTTAAGCTACGTACTGTTCCTTGGTGCTCCATAAATGTTCGAACATGTTATGTGCCGTGTCCAGCTAGAGTCTTCAGAGCAATAAGAGCAACGTGATTTTCGTACTTACCTGGTTGACCCATACGTTGGTTGTCATAATCTGGTTCTTTAGGTTCTACAAAGAAAGAAAGATGATAATTAAAATGGGAAAAATGGTGATCACATTGAGCGAAGCAGAGCAGCAAATAAACAAGTGCTTAAAGAATTCACTTCTATATTTTTTGTCACCATCTATTATTTCGTTCATTATTTCCACATTCTTTCGGAGCTTTGACTTGTGCGGAAATTGCGCGACTTGTGTGGTAATTGCGTGACTTGTGTTGAGCGCTTTTGTGTAGAGCTGGCTTGTGTGCTGATATAAATTGTGCAGAGCTGATTGACACGTATAATATCATATACAACACTAAACTGGCAGTGAAATAACATTGATGACACAACCTGCCCTTTGGCGACAGGTTGTGGTAAGCTATAGGATGTACAGCCAAGAGTGATAGTGAACGGCGTGGTAAACCTTACCGCTTCGTTCGCCCCTGAAGCTTAGTCATGTACGAGAGAAGGGAGGATCTGCAAGCACGAGTATAGAACTGTGGCTTCAGCATCTGTCTCTAGCTTATTTTTTTCCTATCTGGCTGCTTCGTTGAGTTTTTTTTAACGTTACAATGTAGGATTGATGGTGCAATATCTATATACGTTCCCAGGGCATTTTGTCTCCACACCTTGAGAACGAGTACAGTTCACGACATGGTAAAGAACATTTTCGTAATCTCTTATTTGCGCACGTTGTACCCCAGATCCAGCACTTTGTATCATGGACGTCGGCAAGAAGTGCAAAAAGGGGCACTTGCCCTCCCCAAGCCGAAACAACACTCCCCTTACCCCATCCAAGCTATACACCATCACTTCCCTTCGCCCCAGCTGCGACACAACACGGGTTCGCACACCCCAACAAAGAATCCTTCTGAAGCCTACGGCTCGAAGACGAGTAGGCGCGGTACCCGTCGCGAGACTTACCACATCGATGAGTTGGGAGAGCTTGAGCCCCATGCGCACGGTGAGCCGGTCCGAGTTGTTGCTCACGGGTCGGATGAGCCGGTTGTAGCTGCTCATGAGGTCGTCGTAGAGCCTCTTCGCGTCCGGGTTCCCCAGGCAGCAGTGGGGCGCGCAGAGCGCCAGCAGAGCCGCGACGAGCAGCTCCGCCGGCCCCGCCATGGATGGAGAACCACGTCGGCCGCCGGGGAACGGCCACGACGCCATCGCCGCCCTCTCTCCACGTCTCCGTCCACACCATCGATCCGCTGCTCCCGCACATCCCGACGACGGAGGAGGAGGATGAAGATCCGGGAGAAGAAGGAGAGATAGCCGGTGGCGGCGATCCGTCTTTGGCCGCTGCGAATCTACCGGAAACGTTTAGAAAAGCGTGATGACAGATCGGGCAGACCCGCTTTCAGGGCGGTTGACAGTTGAGAGGAGCACTAGATTATAGCCAGTTACGGCCAACAACAACCAATTGACACCGAAAAAGGTGACGACACGCGACGAACACTTAGCGGAGTGAAAAAAAAAACAGCAAAATGTTTACAATAAACGCTAAGTAGAGGGTCTATGTCAAAAAAAAAAAAACATTCTTAGGGAAAACGAATTTGTACATTTACGAAAAAAAATAACGGTCGACTAATGCCGTCATTTTCGATTGGGGCTGCGTTAAATGCGTTTCAACATGCAGATGCCAATTTACAAAAAAAAAAAAATGTGCCACTTAAAAAAAAAACGTGAGGGTCATACACTGGTAGCGTCATATATATTTCCGACATTATTGAGTAATAACTTTACAAATAAAATGCCCATAACAAAATACCTAAATACAGAAGTGAGATCTGTGGGAATGGACAACTGAGTGCACGAAATCTATCAAAGAAGCAAATTTCTGTTTCTCTGTAAACGTTACCTCGGTGTAGCGCCGATCGATTTTAGAGAGCGAAGCATGAAATGCAAAAGCAAATAAAAAAATGCAGTAATACACCGCGAGGCTGGAAGACCGTCCTCGCAAGTTTTGCTTTATTGGCGATTTCACGCAGAAATGCTCTCCATCTTCATTTAGAGTTTGTACATTTGATAAATGACGCGCGCGAGAGAGCTGCGCGACGTTTACACGTCCTCCCAGGCACACATACAGAGACGCGGACGGACACGCCTACGAACAGAGGGCAAATAATGTGGTGTTCCAACACTGCTTCGCAGCCGCCTGCCGGCTTGCCGCAGCGCGGCGCTTCCCCGAGATTGGCCGCTGGGCAAGTCGCTCCCTCACCCTTCGGAAGAGGAGGCCTCGTCCGGAGGGAGGATGCGGAGCGCGTCGGAGGAGGGAGGGCGTCGCCGGAGACGACAGCACGCCGGCGGAGCAGCGGACGACGCGGTGGCGGCAACGCCGGCGCGGGGACAGCTTGGCCGCCGGGCGCCCACCAGCGCTCACCAGCAGCGGGCCATGCGGCGAAGCACGTAGGCTGCTGCTGCTGGTGCCATGGGCGAGACACCGTCGAGGACCACAAGCGTGCCGCCGCCTCCGGCCGCTGCGGGCGGCGGGCCGGCATGGCGCCTCCGGCTGTCGGCGCTCATCGTGGCGCTGCTCAGCTGGCGAACGCCGAGCTGCGCGGCTAACGCGGACACCAAGCGCCTGTACCACGACCTCATCAACGGATACAGCTCGCTCATCAGGCCCGTGGGAAACAACTCGGACAGGCTCACGGTCAAGATGGGCCTCCGCCTGTCGCAGCTCATCGACGTGGTGAGCTAGCTGCGCCATCGATCGCCTCTGCAGCGCACGCACTGTAATGTAATCGGCACTGCAAAACGCGCACTGCTGCAAGATGTTGGCTGGCTCTATAGGTTTACATGCTCACAGGGGCCGTTCAGCAAACAATTACCAGGACACCCGCCCACTTACGATGGTACTGTGTGCAATACCTATAGCTATTAGGGGATAACATGGAATAGAGAGCGCAGACTACAAGGCGACAGCTAGCACGTATAAGTGCGCTAAATTAAGTAGGCACTGACCATTGGTTACTGTCTACTTGCTTGAGTTGCTAGCGCCCGACTTGGGACTTGGGAAGGAGGAGTTGTTATATAAAGGCACGAGAAAACATTCATGGCACACATTCATGTTTTTCGTGGAAGCGAAGTCGTTAGGGGGAGGGGGAAGGTGCACAATTCTTTAATGTACTGTGGGCTGACGCCTTGTCGGAAGCAGACACACGTCAGTGAGAACGAAATGGTTCCCACATGTGTAATCATTGTTTATAACACAATCAAATGCATATACATATTACTGTACCAGGTAAATTAACAAGCCTTGCTTTGTCGTTCATTAATTGGTCACTAGTAGGCACTCACAGCCGCTCGCGAAAAGGTGTGCTTTTGAAAGCTCTGAGATGCCGCATTGGCTCTTTTCAGAACCTCAAGAATCAGATCATGACAACAAATGTGTGGGTGGAGCAGGTAAGCCATGCTATATTTTTTATTGCTCCTAAAAAAACAAAAAGCAAACATCATACAGCTGGCCGCAGAGCTCTCTCCTTGATCATGTAGTACAGTCAAGGAGCGCTCAGTTCTCTGTGGGGATTATTTAGATTGCCATGAGAATTATGGCCAAATTGCTGCAATGACAAAACCTCTATTTCGCTTCATGCTTTTTTAGACATCACCGAAACTTATATAGTGTAATAGAGAAGACTAAGAAGATGCTATGGAGAATCCGAAAAAGTGGGTCCGGGCGAAAACTCAACCAGTAGTGTCTCAAGCTGCCCAATCAATCAATCAATCAATCAATCAATCAATCAATCAATCAATCAATCAATTAATCGACCACTCCCTGTTTCTATAAAATTTACGTACGGAAGCATTTGGAAACGCACCGTATAAAGATGCGGCCTTTCACAATTCAACTGGCATCAGCCACCTTAGAGCATGCATTTCTTCTGAAGTGCCTCCATTCGGGTCGCACTTTCCGTGTAGGAGTGGAACGACTACAAGCTCCGCTGGGACCCGGAAGAGTATGGCGGAGTGACGAAAGTCCACGTACCGGCTGAACAAATATGGCTGCCCGATATTGTTCTTTACAATAAGTGAGTGCCTTCGAAGCTTTTCTTTTCCACAACGAAAACCCTTTGCTGCGCAGTGAACAATCTTTGTTTATGCCTGCTTACATTTTCAAATCATTTTTTTTTCTAATTTTCTGAGCGGAATGGCATAGAATATTTCAAAAAACGAATAGATCTGCATTCAGGAGGTCACAATGAAGCAGTATCTTACGCAGACATTTAAGTAAATATTACTATATAACGACTCTATTTCTTGTCATGCCAAGATAGCCATTTTCGTCTACGTTTATTTGTTGGTTGTGTTGCTAAGCTTTGACGAGTCGCCACTTTGACTGAACCGAGAGCTGGCTTGCACAAATTAATTACATTGGTACATTCCAATGTATTTTTGGCGTCTTTTAATATTCTAAAATGCAGACACGACATTACTAATGCGTAACAATTTCGATGATCATTTAATATACGGATCCTCAAGCATGTTGGTCCCCGGGAATCCACTAAGCTCTGTGAAGTGCCATAGAAGTTATATAGAACCTCCAACTTCCTCCTTCCTCCTCGCGCGCTTTCATGCAAACGTTTTTTATTTTACTCACGCTGCATTCACTTGCAATGAAGTTAAAAGCAAGAGTATGTAAAGAAATAATCAACTCACATGCAACTGAACTCGCCTTCCCTGCACCAACAAATCGAGAGGCTCAGTCACATTCGAGGCCGGTCGCATGTCGGCTGCTCTGTTCGGCCGATTCCTGCGCTTATTTTTCGATAGGCTACAGCCTCGATAATTCTTGCTCACAAGCATATTCAGTTGAAAACGGCATCAGCATGTCCACTGCCTAATCTTCGGCACCTACCTTCAAACAGGAGAAGCGAGCATGGGGTTAATATAAGGCCTCCAAGATTCAAATGCAGTAGCTTGATTACGCTACCCGTTTCTGGAGTCTGGCTGGCTTCAAGCCACTGGCCGGATTTATTGCGCACCTCGCGTGTTCCTGTTATGCAACGAGATGTGCCTATGAACTCTAGGGCGTGATTATTAGTGGTTCCTTAAACCGATCGCACGTCGGTTTTACCATCTGAGTGACTTGGCGAGTGCGGAGCCAGGAAAAAAAAATATCGGTGTCCCGTGGTGTATCGAGGAGGGACCCGCAGAACTTTTACGTTCTGCAGAAACCACTTGGAAAAATCATGCTTTAATATACCGGGCAATAAAACTCAAAAGAGTACGCATCCTGCTTATGTTCCCAACATTACAAATCAAAGCAGTATCGAGCCCTCCACCTGTCATTCAAGCTGGATAGGATATCATATAAAATAAGAAATTGAAATGAGAAGTTGTGTTTCCTGTTTCCAAAGTTGTTCCGAATTGGTTATATAGACTTCCTCTTCCCCATTTCCTCACGTGCAGTATAGTACCATGTACATACGTGAAAACATGTGCACGTCTCCAAATTTAAATACGAAAGATGCTTACTGCTGAGTATTGAGCCTTCAATTTTTGTCTTCTGTATAGCCTTGATGATTATTTTTCGTTTCAAAAACCTTAAGTTTATTCACCCGGTTAATTATACTTGGCGCCTTCTTCCTCTCTTATGGTTAGGCAAGCCCTAATGTTGACGGTTTCATAAGTTGGTACGACTGTAAAAAAAAAAAAAAAAAACTACAGGATGGCTCGAATGAGATTCATCAAATTTCTGGTTTGTCACTTGTTCGTTGAAGTAGATTGTACGCCATAAGACTATTCTGTGTTAGAGCTTTGCACAACTGTGGATGCTTTTTGTACGATACCACTTGACTGTTTTGGACACTGCGAGATTGCGGCGCTCGTTCTGATAACATTTGTGTCGCCACTGTGCACGTTTCCTTGGACAGTGCTGATGGCAACTACGAGGTAACCATCATGACCAAAGCCATTCTCCATTCGGATGGACTCGTCATCTGGAAACCACCCGCAATCTACAAGAGTTCCTGTGAGATAGACGTGCAATATTTTCCATTTGACCAGCAGACCTGCTTTATGAAGTTTGGATCCTGGACCTACGACGGATACACGGTCAGTGTCTGTATGCAGCGCTATGCGCTACAATTACATCTTGTTAATAATACAGAATACGTATTAGTTTCAGACTTCCCGTAAATGAGCTCATGGGGTTGATATACGTATGTCATTAGCAGCGTCTCTGAACGAGGCTCAGTCGCTAATTCGAGCACCAAAGAAGTGAAACTGTAAATTTGCACAGATATGAATAAATCTGATAAAGCGCGTCCTCTGGAGATAACTCGAAGGTAAAAGCCACTTTACTTTTTTTTCCTTCCGAGTCGACTGTATTGATATCTGAACGATTTGCGCGGCATGGTCTTACACGACGATTGGGAACCGGAGACACCACGAGCATTCTGTACCGAGCAGGCCTCCGGGATTGCCAGCCCCCCTCCTTCCCATGACCATGCTACTACGTCATAAGATGATGTCATGTGACATCACAAGTATAATCTATCTGCGACTCGTATTGACACCAACTGCCACTGATCGCTTATGACGAGGCACCTAATAAGGCGTTTATATAATAAACAAGAGTCGATGCGCAGGTCGACCTGAAGCACAAGCACCAGCGCGACGATTCCAACGACATCGCGGTGGGCATCGACCTGTCCGAGTTCTACCTGAGCGTCGAGTGGGACATCATGGCGGTGCCCGCGCGGCGCAAGGAGAAGTTCTACTCGTGCTGCGAGGAGCCCTTTCCGGACATCACCTTCAACATCACGCTGCGGCGCAAAACCCTGTTCTACACCGTCAACCTGATCATCCCCTGCGTGGCCATCTCTTTCCTCTCCGTGCTCGTCTTCTACCTGCCCTCGGACTCCGGCGAGAAGGTCTCGCTCTCCATCTCCATCATGCTCTCGCTGGGCGTCTTCTTCCTGCTCCTCTCCGAGATCATCCCGCCCACGTCGCTGGCCGTGCCCCTGCTCGGCAAGTACCTGCTCTTCACCATGGTGCTCGTCTCCCTCTCCGTCTTCGTCACCATCGCCGTGCTCAACGTCAACTTCCGCTCGCCGGCGACGCACAAGATGGCGCCCTGGGTCAAGCACGTCTTCCTCAAGGTCCTGCCCCCCGTTCTCCTCATGAAACGGCCCCAAGACGATGATGACGATGACGATGCCAGTGCCATGGGCTTCGATGCCACGCCGTCCGCCGACAACCGAGCTCCGCCATCTCCTCCTCCGCCGCCGCCACCGCCACCACCGCCGCTACAGGTATGTAAATTACTGGCACTTCCTTTGCGAGTGTTTTTCTCTGAGACTGTGCATAACAGACAACCGAGAATCGATGCGCGGTATAGAATGCACAGCGTCTACACGGTGTGCATTTGCACAAAGATACGTCTAACTGGTACTCTACAATGTCTGAGCCTTAATTCACACAGCATTCCTTGTATAGGTGCCAACTTTTTATCGCACATATATGGATGTAAATGATAAATGGAACTGCATTTACACGAGTCGACATGGTCGTAAATGGTTTAAATAAACTCGTGCTACGAATATCTTATCATATAGGAAGATGTTTGGAACGAATTGTGTCGAGGCATTCGGGGAATCCAAAGGCACTCTCTTTCTACAGATGATGCAGTGAAGTATGACTCCCTGACCACTACGACAATTTTGGCAAGGTGCCCCTAGGTTTCACCCTAAATGCCACAGTGACTTTGCAAGAGAGAAACGTATTGACAGAAACGCATCTTGAACTGGCTGCATTGCCTTCAATTCACGCTCTTTAGACAGTCAGTGCATGTTACGTTTGTTAGCGAGTATGGACGAGTCAATGAGCGAGTAAAAGAGTTAGCCGTCAAATACTGGTGGTGTGCAAAGCTGGCTTCAGCAATGGCGGTCGGGCACCTCCAGTAGCTTAAATTGCGTCATTCGCGATTCAATTGTTTTAACGGGATCTAAAAAATGCCTTTCACAATTTCAATTGTTTTTTTTTTTGCGTGAAATAGCCACAACTGTGGCTCCTAATTGAACATGAAGTGACTAGCCCAGCAACGTGTACTTCTAGATTTGAAAACCCACTGTGCATCTTTTCTCTTCACTTAATGTTCGTCAGAGCCGAGAGGTAAGGAAAGCCATAAAGGTTAACCAGAGGCCCACCTGTGCGCAGGAACTGACGTTGTGCGCGTACCATTCAGCCGAGCCCCCAGAGAGCGGTGGGGACGACGCCTCCCCACGGGCGTTGCCCTCGCCTCCCGACGGCGGCGCCGACCCTGGATCCCTGCTCGACCAGGACCTGGCCAGGCCCGTCTTCAATGTTCGCTTTATCGCGCAGCACATGGAGAATGCCGACCACTTTGACCAGGTGCGCCTAGTGCTCCATCACTTTTATTAATATCAGAGGATGTCAGCATGCATTGCTTGTCAGAATGAACGGAATTTCTCTGCACTTAGCACCACTTCTTACTCGATTAGAGGGGGATTCTTCACCGATGAGAAAGTTTGGAAAGACGGGTATGTTTGGGCGTCGCGTTTTTAAGCGAAGCTTGTATTTCCTGACTCGTCTCGCCATCGGTGTGGCTGTCGCCGTACGCGAAAGCTTTGGCGGGTATGTGCCACTGAAAATGGGTGAGCCCCGCTTGTCACTTCAGAACAATTCAAAATGAAAAAGTCTCGTGTGGGTGAAAAAAAAAAATCACGTATGTGCCATAGAATCTGAGCTTAGCCCTCACTACTCGCCCACTAAACTCGGAAAGACTTTAACTGTTGGTATGGTTCGTTAATGTCCATGTCATCCAATTCCCGTCATGCAGAGCGATGTGACAAATAAATAAATAAATAACGCCAGGCGTGCACACTCCATGTTTCGTCGACTCCTTTTCCTGATACAGAATTGAGTCCCATTCCCCCCCACCCCCCCCCCCCCCCCTTTGTGAGGTAGGTTATGTAGCGGTAGTAGGTAACAAGTTTCTTGACTACGAACGACAAACCGTCCACGGTGCTTTTTCAGAGTAGGCCTGCGAGGGAACTCGTCTCACGTGTACACAACATTTCGACAGCCGCCGTAGCGGGCATGTTCTCGACCCCCGATTACGCGTTCAATGAAAAGAAACTCACCTGTTTTTCTTGCGTGCGCGCGCAGGTCATCGAAGACTGGCGTTTCGTGGCCATGGTCCTGGACCGGTTATTCCTGCTGCTGTTCACGTTCACATGCGTAGTGGGTTCCGCCTGCATCATCCTCGAGGCGCCCTCGCTGTTCGACGACAAGCTCCCGATTGACATACTCATGTCCAAGGTGGCGCCACGTCTGCGGCGCATCCACGACTGAGCCTGCCGCCATCGGTCGGTCGAAGACGCTTCCTCCACCAAGAAGCCCTTCCCGGGATGTCCTCCTCGGCTACCTTCGCTTCGCTTAGCGAGTCGGGACATCGTCAGCCCAATCCTCGATGTGCTGAATATGAGGAGTGTGACGCGAGTGACGGAAAGAATGTGCGCGGCTGCTGTGACAGAGAGACTCGAGACTTTGCTGTTTGTAGTGAGCAGATGTTAAGACGGGTCACGACGGTGACCGAAAAAAAAAAAAGAATACACTCGACGCGTGGCGATACACTCGAGATATTTTGTACGTTCGCCCGCTTCGTAACGCGAGCCCTAGACGAACAAACAAAACATATTTTGCCGGAGAAGCTTTCTCCTCTCGTCTTTCGCTTTTTTTTCTCTCTCTCTCCTAGGGTTTTTAACGCTCTTTTAACGCGGAGTTACGTTAAATGGCATCGCGGTTTTCGAACAACGCCGTCGTCCGCCTCGCGTCGTCTTCGTTTTCGCTTGCCACCTTCCCTTTCCCGTCCTACGCTCAACTAGTGACGTCACTAAAATCCCTAATTTCCCCATCGATTCCCGTTTGCTGATTTCTTTTACGAGTGCGCGAGTTGGCGGGTTGGTACCAACTTCTAAGTTCTCTTTCGTTCATTACACTCAGCCCGATGCTGCCTGTAGGTGCGAGTCTGGAAACGTGACACATTCGTGTATTTCGGTTTTTCCGTTTGTCATCTGTCATGCATTTCGATACAAGCACGACGCGCGCTTAGAGTCTTTAGCCTGAAAAAACCTTTCATTGTTCGAGTGAAAGTTGTCAGTGCTTGTAGCAAGCTTGATGTGTGTTACCTGTTGATGAACCCCCTTCCACCCCCACCGTTTGTGTTTTTGCCAACACACATTGTTTCTGTTTTGTTTGTTTTCGTCAGCGGAGTCGCCTTGTTGTTACGCGTAGGAACGTGCGCCCGTGGGAGCCAAGATTCTCGCTGGACTCGTGCCGAAATCAGGTCGTTCATTCGACAGCACGTCTTTATCGTAATGAGGTGAACCGAAATTTCAATTAATTTAGACGGCTAATTATTCTTTAATTACCTATAGGGTGGTGCCAGTTGTAGTCATTAAGCATGGAAATTGATTAACACCGTGAACCACAGCAAATACTGCAATGTTCGAAATTAGTAGGCAGAAAGACATCGCAGCTCAAGTACATTAGTCAGAATTGTGTCGCCCGTTTCTTCATAAATAAAAGATGTTAAAAATCTGTGAGGCTATTATATAAAAAAAACCTAAGATAGTGTCCTCAAAGTGAAACACAATATCAGTGTAATAACGAGAGGTGGACAACTGTACAAGACGCCAAAAAAAAAAACTGGTTATTGGACAATGCTCATTAGACACAACAAATCATGAGGGGCACACGGAAGCATATCGACTGCGAGCGTTGTTGTGCCACGCGTTTGAACATTCTTAGCGGATACGCGATTGAACAAGGTGACGCCCGCCTCGGTGGCTGATGTGCCCGACTGCTGGCACGAATGTCGAAGTGATAGAAACCCGTGTACTTTGAATGAGGTGCACGTGAAAAAAAAAACTGCGGGTAGTTGAAATTCCTAGAATCTACCACGACGGCATCTCTCTAAATCATATCGGGTTTTTAAGAGGTAAATCTCTAACTATTATTAACTGAGCGTCATTGGCGGTACGATCGTGCACTGTCGAATAGACCTGCAGCTGTATCGGCCGTCGCCTCAGTCCCGTATTCACAAACGCTCCTCGACTCGACCTCCACCCTTCACTTGACAGAGTTGTGCACTGCGCCGCTGCTCAGCTGAAATGACGCTGCGCTACTCAAGAATAGCAGCAAATTATCACTCATATGCAGTTACTTTCTCTGCCTACAGATGGCGCTCCCATCGGCTTTCTCAAGTGAAGGTTGAGCGTTGAGTGAAGGGGCGTTCTAAAATACGGGGATCAGCGGTGAGCGGAGGCTGTGCGCCTGCGCACTGCTTGCTGGAGCTGCGGCCGAGAAGCGTGTGAGGCGCGATTCCGGCGAGTTCTCTTCCTCCCCGCATTGTGGCGCCAGTGTGAAAAAAAAAGTTCAGCCTGTGCTTAGCCCAGTGGATTGTTGCGTCGTTGCGTTTCCGGGATCAAGGCTTTTTTTTTTTTTTTGCTTCCGGTTTTAAAATGTGTGTCGGCGAATACGAGCTCGGGGCAAAAAACGCAAGCCAGAAGATAGTTGTCGTTGGAAACTATTTCTGTAGCGTTGTTTCCTAATAAAGTGCGTTGCCGTGCTGCTCCGTGCCTTTGTCATATAACTGCCGCTACCACACCCCTGACTGACCCCAATGGTAGTGCATAGTTTTTCTCTTTTTTTTGTGGCAAAGACTTGCTTTTAAGGCATAATTTTTTTTTGTTAAATGCGTGCTGTTAGGCCGATGTTGTGTATGAAATGAAGTAGTGTCTTGTGGAATCCGTTTTCATGTATTCAGCGGTTGTAACTGGCTGTGTCGCAGTAGCGAAGGCCCGTTTGAGCGAGGTTACGGGAGCGTTCTGGCCGTAACCCTTTACATGTCCATAAAAGGTGCCTAGTTTCACTTTTCCTAAAACGGTATGCACATATAAGTGTAGGAGAGAAAAAAAAGTTAACGAAGTCCCACACGTACTGCTATTCAAAGTCTTAATTTCCTAGCGTGAGCTACTGACGACACTTCGATGGAGGCGGAAATGCAGGCCCATGTGCTCAAATTTGGGTGCACGTTAAAGAACAAGGTGGTCGGAATTTTCGGAGCCCTCCACTACGGCGTCTTTCATAATCATATGGTGGTTTTGAGACGTTAAACCTTTCAAATCAATCAATACTGACGACAGGTCGGCCTCCCTGTAGGAATAGAAAACAGCAACTCAGGGCAAAAAGAGAAACACAGAGGAGGGACTACTTATATACATGCAAATAGCGATTTATTATAAGCTGTTATTCTCTTGTAGAGTGGTATTTACTAATTTTTTTGGCAATCGGCTATAAAAAAACTAGCACTATTAGGTCTCGTTAGAGAAAAACAAAAACATGGAAAGTAACCCAAGAGTGATAACAGCATAAGGTGCGGTCGAAACGTAATGTGAAAAAAAAAACTTACGTAAAACAGGCGCAAAACAATGAAGAAAAGCTTGAATTGTAAAACGAAACCTGTCTTTTTAGTTCAAGCTGAAGTCATGATAACTCTGATTTGTTAAGGGAAAGTATTCAGGCATCCAAAGAATGTATCAACGAGATGCCATTTTTTAGGCCGGAGATGCCATTTTTTGGGATAACAGATTTCTTCAGGTGGTAATCCCCGCCCCCACTTTTTTTTATCATACGATAGTTAATTATCTCACAAAATTATCAAAGCTGGCGGACCCAAATAAGATGCATATTTCAACTGAAAACAAAAAAAGAGAACCGACTTGCATAGCACGGCCATCGCTTAACACGTACGTGGTGTTATTTCTAATACGTGATACTACGCAAACGATAAAAGGTGTCTCTGTCAGAAAAGAAAAAGAAAAACCAGCTACGCATGGTCAAGTATTCTGTTGTCATGGTGATTACACGGCGCGTTCATTCGTGAGCAGTCAGTAATACCATTATGGAGGTGAACAGACACATGTGCACACTTTATCATGAAGAAATGCATGCTAAACAAAAAAAAAAAAACATGTTAACTTTTCAGCTTATCTACAAATACATTCTGCTAATACTCAATGCCATTCTGTGTAGTAAATAAGAAAAATACAAAAGAACTAGAAAGTGCATCTGCTAATGAAGAATGACGATGGACAGAGAAGACGAAAGGCTTTCAATCGCGCCGCAACATGCCTGCTACGCTGTTGACACCTGAACGTTAGTTAGTGATGGTGGGAGAGAAGAATTGACAGAAAAATTACAGGCAGTAACTTGCTAGAGAAAACTACTTGTAAAAAAAACGTGCAAAAGGGTAACGAAAAATGAGACAACTTGATTGATTCCGGCAACAAATCGTGGCACAACTCGAAGTGAACTGTGGCTCTGTTTTGGAGTTCGAATTTTACCACTCGCGAGCCACACGCGAAAAAAGTCGTTCCATCTTTATTCTTTATTCGAAGTATACCTGCGGCGCCCGAAGGCGTTATAGCAGGGGGTTACAGATTCGAAAAAAAGCATTTTCATTTACAGCAGACACTTGTACACTTGTGAGCCCATTCCACTCATGTATTGTTCTGACAAAAAAGAATTTGCAAAAATTCCAGTCCTGGGACGGTATTCCCTCAGTTTAAAAGGATGATCAATTCGATTTGACAAATAATACGGCGTCTGTAAATACATATCCTTATTCATTCCAGTTTTATTATTAAATATTAGATATAAAAGTTTTTAATCGCAATTTTCTTCGCGATGAAAGCAGCTCCCAATTCAATTCTTGTATCATAGCGGTAGAGCTTTCCCGCCATTGATACCGACGAACCTTGCCGCCCTGTTCTGTATTTTTTCTATCTTATCACTAAGATATACATGCGCCGGATCCCACACAGCGCAGGCGTACTCTAAGACTGGTCGTACACACATCAAATACGGACATTCTTTAAGTCGCTGATGCGAACATCGTAAGTTACGCTGAATAAAATTTAACACCCTCGCAGCTTTCGCGACAACATAATCAACATGTACATTCCATGAACAGCCAGAAGAAAAGAACACACGCAGGTATTTGTAAGTTGTCTTCGTGGTAACTGGCACACCATTTATACAATATCTAAATTCGATCGTTCAGAAGGCTCGCCAAAAAGGTGTAGCACTGCATTAAATGTAATACTAGATTCCTTCATTCCTTTTATTACTGATCAATCGTATAAGTAGTAGTCGGAAAATGAACAAATAAATAACGCAGCAACAAAGTTCTGGCAGACAAGTAGCCGGCGTGGGTGGTCGGGGCACGGCGCGCACAGCACGCGAGCGTTTCAGAGACCCCCGAGAAGCCGCCGGATGGCAAGCGCGGAGGAGGCGTTGGGCGCCGGCTGCTGTTGCGCCCAACTGGGCAGCTCGCTCCACGAGAACAGCAACTCGCCCACCGTGTTCATCGATAAGATCAGCGACGAGAGCGTCACCAGCTTCAGCACAGCGCCGTGCATCAGCTGCGTCATCGAGAGAGTGAGAAAGAAGACTGCAGCACGTGTCCTTCGCGCCCTTCTTGTCTCTTTGTCGTCGTTCTGTTCTCGCGCTATAACTATCGTCCTGTCATACCAACTAAGCCCAAGCTGCCACACTTCTAAGTTGCCTTAAAAAAAAAAAGGAATCCTGCTTCTTGGACGCGTACAAGGCAGATACACGAGCAACAACAAGTTCAATGAACAATCACACGTGATATCCCCGGAAAGTCGAGAACGCGTGCGTTGTACGAAGTGTAATTCGAAAAGCGGAGAACGACACCTGGTAACCACATTTTTTTTCCTCAAATAAGTGATTTATTTCTTCGATAGCCGTAAGGAAGGTAGGCTAATGCATTATTCTGGAACCACGTTTCGAAATCGGTACGCTTCAATCACTTCTCGCTTGTATTGCGTGGTTTCTTGCCAATAACTTACGTGCCTTTCCGATCATGGTGAACAGCCACACATTCGGCAATGAGTAGGCAGATTTATTTATTATTGAAGTAGCTGTATTCTTCATCTCCTCCTTATTAGCCTGTAACGGCATTTCAAATACCGCCCGGTCTGAGAACTGGCTAACCTCCCTGTCCTTCCTCATTATTCCTCCTCCTCAAATACCGCACTATAGAGCTCATTGATGTCTTTGTGAAGATATTAGTCTTCTTCCAGGTTATACCTCTAGAACAACAGTGAAGAGGGGACCAGTACTGCACCGTCATTTTGTCGAGAAGACTAGGCTTTTGCATGTGATCTCGTCGAAGTCTGCAGCCATAGATTCAACGCAGCTTTCACTAATGTATAGGACGCTGCTTATCTACACCTACATACTGCGCGAGATGCAGACATCAACTTACAGAAACACCCCAACACACCAGTCTGAGTTATTTATATATAAGACGTACCTGTATATTACATCTGTCAGAACACAAACTTACACATTTTCAGTTAACTTCCACAGTTACATTACCGGGTGAAAATGAGCACGATTGAACTGTAGCAGTATACATTAGGTGTGAAAAAAAAAACACATCGCGAACGTTCGATATTAGAATCGCAAAACGACCCAAGTGTCAAACAGGCGCAGTACGAGCGCACAGAAAGCCCTATACGAAGGTAGAACATACGCATCACAAATGGCAGCAGTGCACGTATATTTAAAACCATTGATATATGCGGAATATGGCGCAAAAGGTTATGCTGTTAGTACTGGCCTTCACTAGTGGAAGAAAATATGGCAAAGTTGTTGAAATAAAATAAATCAAGAAGCACTGATAATTATAGCACACGCTCTTATTTTCGCCGATGACATGAACGTTGGTCACAAAAATTGGTGTATTTTTCTAAATGATGAAACGCTGTTATCGACAAGGTCAATTGTTATCGACACATAGTCGTATATGAAGCACGAGATATACAAATCCCCCCCCCCCCCCATTCTATCATCAAACACTAGTGTGAATCTCTAAAAAAAAAAAATAAGGTTGGGAGAAGTTGAGTGAGACGTGACCTTCTCGGCTGATGCTATAGGTTTTTCCAAGACGTAAACAAAATATAGTTGAAACACGGCCGGTCACGGACCATGCGAGAACATTTGAACTCGGCACCAGAACTAACGTGCTAACCTGGCTGTGGCACCCTCTGGTAGAAGCGCGGCCCTTTCGCCGCATTTATTCGGCTCGCGCGCCCCGCCGCGGTGGTCTAGTGGCTAAGGTACTCGGCTGCTGACCCGCAGGTCGCGGGTTCAAATCCCGGCTGCGGCGGCTGCATTTCCGATGGAGGCGGTAATGTCGTAGGCCCGTGTGCTCAGATTTGGGTGCACGTTAAAGAACCCCAGGTGGTCAAAATTTCCGGAGTCCTCCACTACGGCGTCTCTCATAATCATATGGTGGTTTTTGGGACGTTAAACCCCACAAATAAATCAATCAATTCGGCTCGCGCGGCGGGCAAACTCGGCGTGGCGGCAGTGCGGACCGTGGGCGCGGCTGATAAGCAACGGCACGTGAAAAGCAAAAGCGCGGAGTTAAGACACGTTATCTCGAGCTCTAAGAGCGAATCTCTTGAAACTGCGGTGCGTATAACGAAGGCGCCCTGGCGATGCACCTTACCATTTTGCGGCGGCAAGGAGTGAGCACGT